CTAACTGACCACCCTCTCTAAATGACTACCCTCTCTAACTGACCTCCATCTCTAACTGACCTCTCTAACTGACCTCCCTCTCTAACTGCCCATCCTCTCTAACTGACCGCCCTCTCTAACTGCCCTCCCTCTCTAACTGACTACCCTGTCTAACTGCCCATCCTCTCTAACTGACCGCCCTCTCTAACTGACCTCCCTCTCTAACTGACCACCCCCTCTAACTGACCACCCTCTCTAAATGACTACCCTCTCTAACTGACCGCCCTCTCTTACTGACCTCGCTATCTAACTGACCACCCTCTCTAACTGACCTCCCTCTCTAAACTGACCACCCTCTCTAACTGACCTCCCTCTCTAACTGACCACCCCCTCTCTAACTGCCCACCCTCTCTAACTGCCCATCCTCTCTAACTGCCCTCCCTCTCTAACTGACCACCCCCTCTCTAACTGACCACCCCCTCTCTAACTGCCCATCCTCTCTAACTGACTGCCCTCTCTAACTGACCTCCCATTCTAACTGACCACCCCCTCTCTAACTGACTGCCCTCTCTAACTGACCTCCCCCTCTAACTGACCACCCCCTCTCTAACTGACCACCCTCTCTAACTGACCACCCCCTCTAACTGACCACACCCTCTCTAACTGACCTCCCTCTCTAACTGACCACCCCCTCTCTAAGTTACTACCCCCACTAACTGGCCGTTACTCTAACTGCCGATTCCCTCTGACTGTCCATTCTGACTGACCATATCCTCTAACTTGCCCACACTCTCAATACCCACGCCCTCTTAGTGACCATCCTCTCTAACTGACCACCCTCTCTAACTGACCACCCCCTCTAACTGACCTCCCTCTCTAACTGACTACCCTCTCTAACTGCCCTCCCTCTCTAACTGACCGCCCTCTCTAACTGACCACCCTCTCTAACTGACCTCCCCCTCTAACTGACCACACCCTCTCTAACTGACCTCCCTCTCTAACTGACCACCCCCTCTCTAACTGACCACCCTCTCTAACTTACCACCCCCACTAACTGGCCATTACTCTAACTGCCGATTCCCTCTGACTGTCCATTCTGACTGACCATATCCTCTAACTTGCCCACACTCTCAATACCCACGCCCTCTAAGTGACCATCTTCTCTATTTGGTCCCCACAGGTTTGCCTTGGTCTTCAGCTGTTTGGTTCTGTCTGTCCTTTCGACAATCCCGGAGCACACTGTTCTTGCCTCACGTTGCCTCTTCATCCTGGTGAGAGCTTTACGAAATGGTCAGAACCTGTTATTAACCAAGTTAAAGCAGGGAACTTGGATATGTTCACGGTAATTGGGAAAAGCCGGTATGGTTTGTGAGAGGAAAATATCTTCAACTCAACTATTGGGTTTCTTTGAAGAAGCAATATATGCTGTGGATAAAGGGAAACTGGTAGATGAACTGTATTTAAATCCAAAAGGCATTTGGTAAGATCCCACATCAAGGACTTTGGAACATGCTCTCTGGAAAGTTAGTGAAAGAAGAATCTTTGAATGTTTTTAAGGTAGAGACAGATAGATACTTGAAAGGTTACCGGGGTAGGCAGGAATGTGATTTTGAGGTTACAATCAGTTCAGCTATGTCCTTAGTGAAAGATGGAGCTGAATGGTCTGGTCCTGTTCCTAATTTCTATTTTCCTTTCGAACTGAAGGAACCATTTACAGATCGGTGTGTGTGTTCCCTCTGCAGTGGGGCCAGAAAGCTGCCAGAAAAGTGACGCTTTTTGCTGAAGCATGTCAAACGGGAGGAAATGGGACCGTTACTTTGGTGCTGAGACTGAATGATGTTGCATTTTGAATTAATAACACCCAGTTCAAATTGGAAATCATAAAAGTTGAAAACCTGCTACAGTAGAAAATGCCAAAAATATTCAGAAAGTGGCAGACTGAAAAAAGGTTGGAGTGGAATCATGATTGAGCTAGAATCACAGTAGCACTGCTGCCAGATGAGAAATTACAAATCCACCGCACCCCAGCCCGGCTCAGCTCTGTATAAAACACAACCAGCCTCTCACACTCACCAGCACTCACACATTCACTCTCATGCAGCAATCCTGCACTTACGCAGTTGACACTCACACATTCCACACACTCGCCAACCCCCTCTCACTCATCCTCCCCAACCCCCCAAGACCTCCGCCCCCCCCCACCCTGCCCCATTCAATATCATGCATTCACAGGCTGAGGGATAAATATTGCTCCCAGGTCACAAAGGAGAATTTCCCTACTTTTGTTCAAGGTAACGCCAAGGGATTTACTCTGGAAAGCACAGTCAGATCCTTATATTGAAGTAAATGCATCTTTAAGAGCTGAGCAGCTAATAATACAGCACTCCCTCCATGCAGACTACCCGACAGTGTGGCACTCCCTCACTACTGGCCCTCTGACAGTGTGGCACTCCCTCACTACTGGCCCTCTGACAGTCGGCACTCCCACAGTACTGACCCTCTGACAGTGCAGCACTCCCTCAGTACTGACCCTCTGACAATGTGGCACTCACTCAGTAATGACCCTCTGACAGTGCAGCACTCCCACAGTACTGACCCTCTGACAGTGCAGCACTCCCTCAGTACTGACCTCTGACAGTGCGGCACTCCCGCAGTACTGACCCTCTGACAGTGCGGCACTCCCTCAGTACTGACCCTCTGACAGTGCGGCACTCCCTCAGTCCTGACCCTCTGACAATGTGGCACTCCCTCAGTCCTGACCCTCTGACAGTGCAGTACTCCCTCAGTACTGACCCTCCGACAGTGCGGCACTCCCTCAGTACTGACCCTCTGACAGTGCAGTACTCCCTCAATACTGACCCTCTGATGGGGCGGCACTCCCTCAGTACTGACCCTGTGACAGTGTGGCAGTCCCTCAGTACTGCCCCTCTGACAGTGCGGCACTCCCTCAGT